AAGGTTTTGCAAGAATCTTGGGTCAGAGATCGTACATTCAGGGCAGAAATTTATGTAGGAAACTTAATTAACCCTTTCAGCCATGGCTACAGGGTTCCATAAAGAAGATGGCAATAATCCCCCCAGTGAAGTGAGCTATGGAGAGCTGGTTTTTATTATAGGAGGAGAGACGAAAAGAGAGACAAAAGTTGCTTTATTAGAGGAAAATGCATTGAACCAGCCTTCAATATTAAGAAGATACAAATCTAAACCTTTTGGCCATATTGGAAATCACGGGTTTCCAATGCTCTTGAATAAGGTAAAGCAGTGAGGTGGGATGTAAAAGGTGGAATGATAGAAGAGCCGTGTCTTTCAGAAAGATGCATATCACTTACAAGAGCAAAAAAAAGTTACAGGTGCAAAAGCATTACAAAGAAATGGGAAATAATTTACTACCTTATAATAAAACTCTTTGCTGCATCAATGAAATGTTTTAATTGATGTTATGTAGTGGAAAATGGGAGATAATGAACTACAAGTCATCTTGCATTCAGCATGCCAATCGAAAGGTAAATAAGAATGTCTCTGTCTCAGAAATCTGGAAATAGTTTTGGAAGGCAGAGCTCCTCGGCTGCCTCCTCACCTCAGGCTACAAGAATTTGATTGCACGTGTAGTATCTGCCCGAATCAGAGAGATGTTTATGACTCCAAATTGCGTTTGAAGACTCAAAAGCCCTCGTAGCAGTCTTATGGAAATGTAGAAATAAAAGCTTCAAAATGGTCAGTAATCCAGAGTCATTTCAAATCTAGAAAATTGTCTTTGTAGCCACCGGTGGAAGCTGGGACTGTCTTATACGAGGCAGAGCTGCTGCATTTTGCTGAGGATCTGAAGAAGTGGAAGGACAGATACGTCGTTATCAAAAACGACTACACTGTGGATTGCTTTGAGACTAAAGAGGTAGATGCTTCTTCCTTTTATGTTCTTCTACTCTCCCAAAGAAACTGATATCAAGTGAATTGGCCGCTGCTGCCACCTTTCTTTTGGCAATACTAGATGAAACGTTGTCCTCAGTGAGGCGGCTCCAGCCTTGCGGAGATGGCTGGAAGCTCCACGGGGATGGCTGAGGGTACAACCAAGGGCCTTGCGTTGGCCACACACGTTTGCAAGAATTAGCAAATCATTTTAACAGCGCTTTGAACCTTCCTTTGCATATCACAGAATGCTTCTTATCTGTATGTCATTGTAATACGTCCCCGTGCTTCTGCAGTTGGGTTTTAAGTAGCAATTTTTGGGTGGCTTCAAGCTGACTACAGTGAAGCTTTTCATTTGGCAGCTGCCATAGTCAAACTAGTCCCGGCTGACAAATCAAACAAATAGGGCTTAGAAGAAAATCCCATCCTTTTCCCCTCTCTTCTGTCCCTGGCTCTTCATCACGGCTCATAAGCACTGAGAGGATATTTTTTAATATGTTTTTTTACATTTAACCATGTTTTAGATTCTCGTTTCCAGGGAATATATCCAAAATTCAGTCTGACAAAAAAAATTTCCCTTTGGGGAATATCCCCGGGCATTAGCTTTGTAAATGAGTTGCGTGCTTTATGTTTTCCCTCTCCTTAAATTGCTATTTGACTCCCTCTCTCTTGATTTTCCAGGCCTACCAGAAAGGAGCCAGCCCTAAATATCATGTTCTTCCTGCAGGAGGCAAAGTACTGACTTCAGAAGAAGATTACAATTTGCTGTCTGATAAACATTTTCCAGATCCTGTTGGTAAGCCCTGCTTGAAGCTGAACTGCCAAACCCCAGGCTCTGTTCCTTACGCAGACCTCTTCTGGGCAGGCTTTCAGGCTAGACTTTAAAATGGGGCAACAGGAGATGCATGCGGCCCTTTTTCTAAGTCAAAGCACAGCTCTAGAGTAGATGTACACAGAATATGCTATAAGCTAACGTTCAGAGAAATGCTGGCTCCCTTTTTTTTTCAGCGTGCCGGCACAAAGCTGCTGGAAGCATGCAGAAGCAGAGCAGGAACCACACCACCATTGTTCCTGGGCTTTGTTAATATTCCTGGTTTATTTGTTTCCATTTTTAGATGCCAGCTGCCTGTGTTGACTCACAGTTGATAAGTTGTCCCACAGAGAGGGCAGGAAGGTTGCTGCTGCTGAATTTGTTTTTTCTGGGACAGGAACTGCTGTGATCCTGCCTGCCCCCACCCCACTCCACAAAGATGGAGAAAATTCGGGCTTTAAGGGAGCGGATCTCATGTTGCAGAGTCAGATTTGGAAAATGGCATGCCACCTAAGGAAAGGGATAAGGGCAACTTGTAGGCAAGGATTTTTTTTTTAAGTCCTGTCTCATAATACTTGAAGTTATGACTGTTGGGACATGTCCCACTTACACCTCTTTCCCACTGCATAGGGTGGTCAGAGGGTAGCATGGGGCAGTGGTGCCTGGAGGTGTCCTCCATGTGTCACCACAGCTCTGCAGGAGTTGGGGTTGAGTGATGTGGAGCAGCCCAAGGCTGCTTGCGGGCTTCCCATGGCTCTCCCTTCACAAAGAGTGGCTCAGTTCATCTTTTATGGCCGTTCTCCCCTTCTGTGTGATGCTGAAGACCCCCCAAGATGAACCTCTTGTGGCTGGGCTCTTGGTGCGTGGCACTGAGACAAGATTGGGTTTGGTCATCTGTAAACGGTGTTGTACAGCATCCCCTGTGCACAGTGACTTGGGGCAGGTGGAAACTGGAGATACATAATGCTTTCTTTGCTTCACCTTCAAGGGCTTGAAGTGACAGTTCACAAAGCCATCTTGCAGTTGTGTTTGGAAACCCTGGAGACAGGGAAACCGCTGCTGTTCCTACATGGTTTAATGCAGTTCATTTCTATATGGAGGACCATATGCTCCTATATGATGTCTATGTGGAAGAGACCATAGCTGCCCATTAACTTACTTATTTGCTGTGAAAACATTTTCCCTAGCAGTTATGATCCAATGAAATAGTTTATTTGAGATTTTACCAAAAATGTGTAGTTTATGGCCATCTTGAATACAAAACAAGAGGACATCAAGTTGCTATGGTATAATGTAGAGAGGTGGTTGGTCTCTGCTGAGTTTGCCCACCCCAGCTGTGTCCCCCTGCTCTCTGTGCCCAATTGCTTGAATCAAGAAGGAGACTTGATTTTTTCATGTCTCGTGCTTCCCTGCTAGCAAAGGTCTGTTCTCTCTGTCATAGCAGAGGAAAAGAGCCAAACTCCCCAAGAAATCTGGAGATTTCAAATGGAGATGTGTGTTTTGTGTAGGGTCAAGTGAGAAGGAGGTCGCTCAAGCCTTCGTTCAGCTGCCGAAGGAGTTCCCGGTTTACCTGTGGCAGCCCTTCTCCCGACACAGCTACTATTGCTTCCCAGAGCCAGAAGCTCAGAGGCAGTTCAGCGCCGTGCTGGGGGACTGTGTGAGACACTCAAACCACGGTGAGTGCAGAAAGGGCCTCTTCCTGTATGTCATTCACCCCGGTGAAGATTTAAATAGCTATTATAGTAAAAAAGCTGTAGAAAAATGCAAGTCACTTACAAAAGATGCTTTGCTTTCAGTGCCTTGAGGAATGCATTAACATACCCCTTCTTCTTGCTTTGCTGGGAGCAAAGTTAGGTGGGATTTGAGCTACAGTGTAGTAAGCTTGGGTAGAAAACATGGGAACGGCCTTGAAAGTGGCGTTCCCCTCTGTCAGCTCATCTAAATCCAGTACCATGATACAAAATCATATGAGGTGTTTACTAAATATGGCATGGCAAACTCTCACCTGTGTTTGCAAGCTTGAGAAATGCATCATAGATATGGTAGACTGGGTTTGTACAACGTGGAGGGAACGCAGTCTCTCAGTACATTTCTGTAATGTTATACATATATCACCAATGGCCAGACATTTGGTATTTTCTGTGGGTGTTTAGATGGCAGCTCAAGACCCCAGCCACGGTTAAGCCTCGTAGGTGGGACATGAATGCTGTGTAAGACACGGTATTAATTGTTTGCACAAGGGTAAATTTTAAGTCTCACTTTCTGAGCATGTTAGACTAGAAAACTTTTAAAAAACCAAACTTGGGACTTGCTAGGATTATAAAGCCAACCTTGCTCCATGAAATTGGAAGAGCATTTATGAGTTGTGTCCTTTAGAAAAAGAAATGCTTTCCTATTTTTCAGATGACTTTTCTGTTTTTCCATCAAGCTGACCTGGTTCCCCCACTGGTGTCCAGGCTCTTCCATGCCTTTAGTGTTGCTTTCGAGTCCTATCTGTTCCTGCTGGCCTTGGTGGGAGATGGGAACACTCAGGAACTTCTCCAGCAGACTCAGCTACTTGGGCCTGAAGCTCATGCTTGTAGATAAATGAATTGAGATTGCAGCATGTGAACAGTCACTTTTACTTACAGAAGTGGCTCCCAATGTTTTTTTTTCAGCTGTCACTTTTGTCTCCTGGCCATCAGCTTCACCCCATTACCCTCAGACAGCTGTCTCACACTGTCCTCCCCGGATCCTTCTCAACTGCCTTCTC